CAATCATCGCGCTCTAAGTGCAACAACCCCCCCCCCCTCGCCTCCCCATTATGATTTGTGAGTATAATTATAAATGTGTGACATCGTAGTGAAATCAGAAATTCGTGAAAGTAATGAAACAGACGAAACAGACATTTTTTACTGTTCGTAAGGCAATTTTTATCGAATTTTCAAATTTTTGACTCAGCACTTTTTAAGTCCACATATGCATACACATTTCAGTGTAGATTTTGTAGGAAAAATGATCAAACATAAATGTAAATTTGCAGTTTCCAAGGACACTCCAAGTTTGAAAGTCTGGCGGCGATTTCTCGCTAAGTTTTCCTCTGATAGCAGGCGACCCCACCGCCTTAAATTGCAAATATCTCAATTTATATTCAAGATAGACTGGTATTTTTTTTTCATCAAAATCAATTCAAATGAAAAAGCTTTAAGGTATACAATAACTCCATATACACAAGAATTGACGAAGGCCCAAGTCCACCGCAAGTAAAGCTTAGCCGAAGGGATAGTAATATACTAAAAGGCCATAAGTACTAGGGTGTATCTGAGTACTGTTCCATGATAACACAATAGGTGAACAGAACAATTAATTGGTTGTGGCATTCACAGAGCACAAAGACAGCTTACGTAGAATATCTTTGCTTTTCTAATTTGGAAAGAAGAACATTGCATGACACGAAAACAAAGGAAATAAAAACACAAAAGACTGAGATAGCCATGGGGATGCTCCACTGCCCGACAGTCAACTTTTCTCTACAAATTGATACAAAATAACATTATTAAGCCTACGCTGAATTTTCCATTAGTCTATGCAACACAACGAGATTTATAATTTGTAATGCTTTAAACAAACATCGGCAGTAGGCAACGGGAAACCACTGCTGTAGGATCCCAAGAATAATCATAGAAAAGGAAAAAAATAGAAGCAACAGAAAAGTGGTTTCTTAGGAGACTGCTGAGAATATCGTGGAAGGAAAAGAAATCGAATGAGGTAGTGCTCGATGAAGCCCACGAGGGACGCTCGCCGTTAAAAAGGAAAAGAAATCGAATGAGGTAGTGCTCGATGAAGCCCACGAGGGACGCTCGCCGTTAAAAACAATCAGGAAACGACAAATTATGCAGTTTTGGGGACACTTGAATAGACATATAGGTCTTGAACATCTAGCTCTTACTGGCAAAATTGAAGGCGAACGAGGCAGGGGTAGGCCCAGAGCAACGTACTAAGGGAACCTAAACAAATGGGTAACGGGGAAAGATCAGGGAAACGTAGTTTTTTTAAAGAGTATCCGAGCAAAGGAATGAACGGAGAACCATCATCACCGATGTCTGTCGTACTACTGGATGCTTAAAGTTGTGAGCACTCAACAAAATTAAATAACCGACAGAGATGGAAACGGCGGCGTCTGTGGTGTAGCGGTTAGGATCTTCACTGTCGCACACAGGAGACCCGAGTTCGATTATAGAGGGGAGAATGCTTTTCTTTTTAATCGAGTTTCTCGATTTTTCTACTGGGATGTTGTATCCCTCTCAGCCCAGATTTGCCCTGACAGGCCCGGTCGGAAGGCCGCCTTCTGAATGATTCAAATTGTGTTGATGGTAGTGTAAGAACAGATACATTTTAAGAAGATATTATAGTTTATATACAAGATAGTGGTGGGTCTAACAGGGTGTAACGTTGCATGACGATAGGCAAATTTGGAATGTACAGACCAGCATAGGGAGTTATCATGAAGTAGCGTAAACTTTCCGGGAGATATACAATAATAGAAATCAACAATAACAAAAGTACTGATGATAATGATGATGGTGATGATGATGATGATGATGGTGATGATGATGATGATGATGATGATGATGATGATGATGATG